CGTCGAATATACAAATATCGCGTGTGTACCGTATCGGGTTACCTTTGTTTGCATTTTTAAATATTATTTAAGTACGTCGACTCGTAACCATAAACATCGCGTGACAAGAACACTAATAACTCGATTTAATTAATCCATAGGTAATAATCATACTTTTAATAATTCATGAGAATAAAATGTTAGTTGCATTTTCAATTAATTCATTATAGGCGAAACCTTTGTCTTGTAGCGTTGTACTTAGCGTTTATTTAAAATAGTTGCGTATTCAACTCTTATTTACGTGTGTAATGTTGTGTCGCCGAGAGATTTCGCGTATTTTACGGACAGAAATCGACATTATTTTTGCACCTTAAACTTCCTTTATACGTATAATAGCAATATGGAGGGAATTCACTAACAACTTGCTTCGAAAAGTGCAGCTTTCTCACACACCTATAAACAAATATAAAAACTCCTCTCTCTTTGTTAAAATCTTTTTTTTTTCGTTTCACTGTGTTTTTTTTTCGCGCTTCTACTTTTTGCCATTTTTTTTCTCCTGTTCCTCGTTTTCCCCACCGTGCCGCTACATTCTCGCCGATTGCGCTCTGCTGTCTCGCCGTTCGTCGATTATTCACGCGCGTTCCTCTACTTCCGGTCACCAGTTACCGTTTCACCTTGGTATTTCGAATTACGCGCGCTCCTACGAATATCTCTCGCGTTCGTCTCGCTATTCTGTCGAAGTACACTCGGAATCGCGTGAAAAGTCAGCCACGACCATTCGAGTATTCGCGATTTGCCGCGGTTCGAGGTAGTTCGCGACGAAACGGGACGGGACGCGAGTCCGTCGAGAAGCAGGAAGCTCCGGGGCAAGAATGTTTCTCGCGCGTTCGCCATTTTCTCTTCTACTGTCCTCTTCGCCCGGATTTTCTTCGTTCCATTTTTCTCACAATCTTCCATATCGTAGCGAAAATAAGGGTGTCGATAGTACGCGACTGTACATTTACGTGTGCAATTTAAGTAAACAGTTGCACGCGCGACCAACGATTTCGTTCCCCGCGAGAGGAAATTAACATATTAATATCCGAAGCACCAGGCACGATCCACTTGCTCACACTCTCACGCGTTCTCCTCTCGCACTGTGTTTCACCACTCGCCAAGCTTTTTCCTCATGCACGCACACCTTTGGCGTCACCCTCTTTCTCTCCCTTTTTCCACCCCGCGAACGGAACAATACGAGCAATCATGCATAAGCACGCCCATAACGAGTAGCGATTAATACACAATCCCATACGCCTGTCTGTCCTTTTTCACCTTCGTCTTTGCCTCTTCTTCTTCTTCTATTTCCTTTTTTTTTTTTTTTTGGTTTTTCGCCATTTTTCTTATCTTCTCTCCAACACGTTTTGCGCGCGGACACACGTAACACCGTTCCCCTACACGCGGCGCGAGTTTATAAATTGTACGATAACGAGGCGATCGATCCGCCTGACCGATCCGGGAGGCGGAAACGGAGGGTGCACACAATAAGATTCCGTCGAATACCTAATTATAACAATTACAAGTAATACACACACACACATTCGTGATTCTCCCACGAAGCTCAAAAATTGTGATTGATCGCTAGAAAACGACGGCACCATGCATCTTAATCATTTAAATATCTACCACACGTAATCCAAGTATCTGTATAATGATTTAAGTGTACATCGACATCTAAGGAAGTGGGGGAGACACCGACGATGGCCCGCGTACTACCATCCCGCGACGCGTACGTCCTGACTAGATACGTCCTTCTGACGTTCACGACGATGGTATGTTCCTCTTGTTCTCTTTAAGTACAAAAACATTTCAGGCGTCGAATATCATCCGTATCGATATTGCTATATTTTCAACTGGATTCAATCTCCTGTCACTCCGAAAGTTCCATCTTAAGTACAACTATCGACCGTAACATTTTTTTAACAGTATCACATACGAACGATAATAAAAGACAAAAACAAACCGTCTATAAATAAAATATCAAAAGGTACACGGAATAGTCATAAATATTACAAAGTATATATCCTATAAAAATTCTCCATTATTCCACTCGAGAATATTAAAGAATAATGCTACCACCTCTACAAATTGAAAAACAAGAAACCATCGCGTGCAGCTATATATGTGATGCGTCGTATCTACGTATGGCCAGCTATTATGTATATCTTTTATATCGAATAATCTCGATAGAAACGCGACTGTACACGGAGCATAGACTCGCGCCGTAAGGGATGGAGTGTCGCGACGACCATCATCGAGGACCGATAAACGCTCTCGCTTCCGAATTATTCTCATTTACGCTTTGCGTTCCCTCTCTCGCATTGTCCCTTCTTCGCGCCCTCACTACCTTTGTCCTTCATTTTTATTATTTTTTTTTCTGGTTGGTTATGTGTACGAAGACCCTCTTGACTTGTATAACACGTCACTGATCGTTACGAAAGGAAACACATCGAGATCTACGACGACTAAGCTTGCGTGTGTGAATAAAACGAACAATCGGCTCTCTCGTATATCGGACAGATGAAATTAGCTACTTCCTAAACCGGTAAGTAAACGCGACAGCGTGCATGCTCCGTCGATCGAGCAGCGAGTGCGAAACAATCGAAGCCACGCGCATGCATCTACCACGTAGCGATCACGCGGATTCGCTCGTGAACGCCAGCGTTTTATTCCACGGATGAGTGACTAGCATTCATTCTATACACCGAAACGACGAGTGAACGAGAGTCGCTTGGATCATTCGCGAACGAACATACTCTTTTCCTCTATCCCTTTTACTTGCCAACCTTTCTTCGCGTTTCGGGCTACTTATTCGTCGATTGACAGTGCTCGAGACTTTCAGAATGGATGGAAATTAATTAGCTGCTCAGGACAAGTTCTTCCATTTTTGTGTATGGTAATGGGAAGTTTTACTTTCATATATGAAATTCTTACTGTTATGTGATACAACTGTGTTCGAAAGAGAAAGAGTGGGTCTATAAAAAGGGACGAAGCTCAGAAACCTTAAGAGTATGTGACTTCATAAGATTATTGTTCTGTGAATGTTAGCTATAAAATATACATGTATTCTTATACCGAGAAACCTTGTAGCGTATTGAACGGTGCATACTTTGAGATATTCAAAACAGTAAAAGTACAAAGAAAACATTAGAGAAATAACTATTTTAGATATCAATATGTCTGAAAGACAATGAAAGGTGAAGTAGCTTTTTGTCAAACAATTTTGCTCCTACTTTAATTCGAAAAAATTTCTGATGACTCGTAGAAGTAACTTAAACATTCCCGAATATCAAACTTACGACAGATTTTTCGAAAAGGTTCACTCCTCTGAAAGTCCCGCGGACTACCAACCCGACTGGTAACGCCTCGAACACCACACATTTACCAAACTTTCAATGATTCTTTCTTCCCGGTTCCTATAGCCTCTCCTCAAAAAACTAACGCCTAGACCAGTTCATGTCCCATTCGAATCGTCACACAGGCGACACGCTCTCACACACGAACAACGTCGATCCCCGATCGATCGAGTGCCGCCGAGAATGAATTCGGGATGTCTCATTCCTCGTTTTTTTTAAGCCTATATAACACGTTTGTCTTTGCTGATTATATATACGTCGCGTGCGAAAATACCAAGAAATATCCTCGCAAAAAGTTAAGCTGGACGGCTTTGATAAAAATTAGGATCATCTTTCGAAGGACGTGAACGTCAGGGAAATAGGAAGTGTTGCAATGGGTGGGGGGGGGTTAGTGGTGGTGATCCGTGATTCGTGATACGTATCGAGATAGGGGCGATCCAGCGTACACGACTCTGCGAAAAAAAGCGTCGATCGCCCCGTTTAGCGGAAGTGCTTCTTGTGCAGACCTTTCCCGTACACGTGACCCTTTTTTGCAGTACGTGGATATAGACCCGTGTAACTGTGTAGATAAATCTGTGTATGTATGTGTATATCATGCGTGGGTGTCCATGTGTCAATGAAAACTGAACTCACACACTGAAGTGCTTAGCCAAAAAGTGTTTATCACGAGCGGCAATATACGACATCGGCGTAGAAGTACAATGGAAACATATCTTCAAATGGTACACGTATCTCTCCCCTATCTTTCGCTCATTCGCTCGTCACCCTAATACGGAATAATGCGTATACATAATATATATATATATATATATGTCGCAGAGATTATCGATTTTTGTCTTGTTGTTTTTCATGTATTATTTACAACGGGACGTTACTAGCGTTAGAGGTGTCGTGGGGCCGTTACCCACATAGTTAAAGGGCGAATTTATCAATATACGCCCACCACACTTTGTGTAGAGATCGCTCACGATTATCCTCTTCGCGAGCGTGCTGTCCAAGAATCTATCGTTAGACCAGCTCACCACACACTCCGACGAGTGACTATAAGGGAATCGGCCTTCGAACATATCGCAAGCGTAGAGATAGATCCGAGTCTTCGTAATTGACTAGCGTTCGAGAGACGCGTTCGGCTTTCTCTCTCTCTTTCTCTGAATCCCATCGACCTGATCGGTGCTTGAAAACCTCGAGCAGGACACTCTAGTCTATCCCGAAACGAGAATATATCTGCTAAACGGGAATCACGGTCTGTACGATCGTGCTCGAGATCGATCTCAACTACCCGCTCGAAGGTTCGTTCTAACTTCGTGCCGCTTGTCGCCGTCGATTCGCGCTGCCGCCGCCACCTTACGGAAGCACTGCTTGAATTGTTTGAAAATGTCGCGAAAGCGAATTTATTGCTAAAACGCTGAATTACGTGACTACCTTGTTCGGCGCGACTCTACGTTTTCCGCGCCCGCTACATGATTGTAATAAACGTTTATGAAAGCGTCGTTGCTCGTTGCTCCTATCTGTAAAAACACCACGGACCAGAGAGTCTCGATCAGCCGCACCGCGCGCTCGGAACCGGGCGACTGTGCGCACGATCGACGACGAACACATTCCGTCCGATCCCGTTTTTTAATTTTTTAATTTTTTTTTTTTTCGTTATTGCACGATTGCGTAATATTGTTTACTCGTGGGAATCGTAGTAGGTCTGTCGTACACGTAGCAGTTTTTGGGGCGATAGCTATCTCTCTTAGATTGCTCTGTGACCGTCACCGTTGCGACACTACCATTGTTTTTGGCCGATGATCCGTTGTTGATGTTGCACTAGAATGTTGGACAACGGATCGGGTGTCCACGTACCGGCACGATTCTGCTAGACGTACGCGAAGCAATCTCAGTAACGTTGCTGGAACTCGTGATGCCACCTGTTGAAGTCGATGTGGAAGATCACGATCGACCCGTTCGCCAGACCGGCCAGGAGAAACCTGGAACACATGGGCTTTGGGGTTACGGGCGGACCTGGCGATCGGTTGTATCGACTAATGGTAATGGAGATGCGCTTTAAATGTTTCAGTGAAATCGATTGAGTGAGCCGCTTCAGTTGAGTTCAGAAAGATTTGTTGGGACCAATCGTGGCGTTAACAAATGTTTTAAAGAAATGTTAAAGGATTTGAAAGCATTTTATCATTCGGACCCCACGGCTCATTTAATACTGAAAGCATAATGCAGTGAAAATGCAATATTTGCGAGGAATTGCTTCAATTTTATTAGAACGATAAAAAAAACATAACAGTAGCGTAACACCGCTCTGGTGACTTCGAGGCACGGTAAGGAAGTACCGTAGACGAACTCGTAGAGTTACGCTTACAGTTTTTTTTTTATTCTTCATATGATATAAAACATTGTACTCACTTTTGGTCGTGAGAAAGTGCTAGAGAACGTACGCTGCTTTCGCAAGCTGGGAATGCATACAGGAGAGCAAGATTGAAAGTCCTCCAGACTTCCACGATTCGCTTATCACCACCTGTCATTAAGTACTCGCCATCTCTACTGAGGAGAAGACACTGGAAAAGTATGGAACGTTACACATGTTAAAATAAGAAATAATCGAATCTGGTACTTTCAGAAGGAATACACCGACGAATATTCTTCTCTTCGAAACTTAATATGTAGCTTGCAGATCACTGTACTTATTTCTAGCAAAAGGAATCCGAATAAACGTAGATTACCTGAAGATTGTCGTTATGAGACTCATGACGCAAGCGTTTCCCGTTTATCGTGAACGCTGCTATATGTCCACGTTCGTAATTTACCACGATCACACCTTCCCTCGACATCGCGATGTTCTCGGGCGAGGAAAATCCATTGGGTGCTTCCAGTGACCTAAGAAGATCACCAAAAGTTGTGTGTACGAGAACAGGACCACCTGTAAACAAAACAAAGAAACGATTGAATAAATTCCAATCTTGTTACATGGAATCCCGTAGTTTGACTCTAGAAAGGCGAAATTTCGAAGAAAGATACGTTATTACATACAGTAAGAACCGGAAACAACTAAGCCCAATTCAGCTGATATGACGACAGCTGTCACTGGCTGTTCGTGTCCGGTAAGTGTTGCCCTTGGTGCCGGAGCTTCACCTTCCCCGACGATTGTCTGCGTTCTGGCGTTCCAGTGCCACAGGAGAACAGTGCAATCGGCACTTCCGGATGCTATGTAACAGTCGGAAGTGATGTTGCATTCGCTTCGAGACAGACACGTGACGACTCCGTAGTGGCCGAACACTATCTGCACGATCTTGGCTACAAAGACAGAATCATTTCAGCAACCTTGCTTTTTCCTCTTCCTTCAAGTGGCTACTCGAGGCTTTTGTTTATTACCAGTCTCGGTGGAGAACACCCGAAAGCTATTATCCCAGAAGCCACAGGCGACCAAGAAGCGACTGTCCACAGTGGTCACGAAGCAGTTGCTTCGAATCGTCAGCTTCTGACTGAAATTATCCCCTAAATGTCTACGTAACGTTGGATTCGAACTGTTCGAAGCTTGTGCTGTCGTGAGAAAATGTCCGATACAATTAAATTCTGCGCAACACTGTAAGTTTCTTTATTAAGTAACATTACTCTTCTGTTCACTTACAAAGAACAGGATCCATAGACAGGGGTTGATTCGCAGCTTGAGCTTGAGGTGTGTCGACGTAACTCGGCGACTGCACGGATGCTGTACAATTTCGTTTCACGTTATTAAGATAATCGATTTCTTTTGTGTTTTTCTAATCACGTCTTAGACAACAGCAGAATGTACATATTCGTCGCTTTTCGAGTAAACGATTTCTACGGTGCCCGATTGCTTACCAGCGTAATTGGTGTTCCACCTATTGACAGCAAATTGCTGTCCAGTGGTGACCGTAACGACGGACGGCAGTGGCAGCTGGGGATACGTGTTCGCCGAGATATGGCAGATCGGTGAATTCGACGGGAACTTGATGGTCATGCACACGTCGTCCGGTATGCTCGAGAACATCATCGGCGACTGCAACACGGGTGGCAACGTCTTGTCAAAGTTTGCAGAACTCTTCTCGTTCGGAACGATTGAACAGAAAGAAAAGCGTGCATTGCACGTATATGTAGGTATATTATTCTATGACGTGAGAATGGTTCAACCGGTCAATGTACAATAAATGTACCAGACTTTAAGGATCTAAGTGAAATTTCAGATACAAAAGAGGAAGTTCTACAGGACGTTCCATTTTCATCATCTATCGTTGAATACTCTTTGCATGCAAAAAACGTTAATATAATGTATTCGCTTCTCAAATAAAAAGTTTATTAAAGACTATATAGAGAACTATGGGACTATGATTTTCTATTTCTATGCTCGCTCAAGGTCAGGCTCTAGGCTAATTCGTTCCTTAAGAATAGTCAAAATCGTTGGAACTCTACCTTATAGCGGGGCTGTCTCTTTATAAAAAGTTCCTCGGGAATACACCTACAATACTATATTCGTATTATAATACTAATACCTACATTACGATGCACGCTCTTCTTACAACAATGTTCTACGCGGTGCCGAATAGAAATGATTTCACTTGCTGGAGAAGTGAAATAGTGGAGAATAAAAATATTCTTTACCAAATGCATCGCCGAGCTCCTCGGTGGATGAGGCTCCATCAGAAGCTGCGACGGTGTTTGACCAAAGCTTCGTATTTGGTTCTCTATGGCATCTCTCATTACGGGGTCCGTTATCGTATCTAGATCCACGCTGCCCTCGTACGTCAAGTAGTAGAAAACGTTTGTCGCACGAACGGCTTCGGGACCTTCGATGAAAACGAGATATACATATAAGTAACTTGCACAAAACTTTTCATAGTGAACTAAAAAAGATCGGCAAATATTCTGGATAAAAATACACAAGAAAATCTCCGTTCCATTGGAAGAAACTATAGCACAACTAGCTCCGTATATTTCTTTTAACGAGGAATTTGGGTTCAAATATTCCCTGTTCAGTGATCACAAAATAGATTTCCACAGACTGTCACATTTTTCTCTGTCACGGTCTCTCTTTCTCTCTCTCTATCTTTGTCTCTCTCAGGTCGATTTCTGGACCTTCTGTCGATTGCTCGTGGCCGGGAGTTTCCGGTAGGCTGTACTTTCGTGCAACCGTCTGTAAACGTGCTACGTATTAAGGGTGGTACGCATTGTCGCGCCCGGCACACGTGCCTAATTGGTCGGGACAAGACCGGGAGGAAGCTAACTAAAAACGTAATTCCTTCCATACGTTCGCCGTGCGCCGGGAACCCTCTTTCTCCAGCCACTCGGCGGCAGCATCTTCGAAGAAGCGCCGGATATAGAGGCGCCACCGGCAATTACCATCGGTGGAAATCTAATTTGACTCGACTCCGTGTGTCCCAACACACCCGCCGATCCAGCCTCTCCCGTGCCACTTGCGCTATTGTCCAGATTCTATCGTCTCAATTTATGGTCACTGATCGGTTTTATTTCGAAAGGACTGGACCAGGTGAAATTTCGTCCATCACAAATCTTTATTCCTTTACGTGTTCTGTTGTTGTTTTTTTTTTTTGCACTATAGAACACCGTCACATACTTTTTTGTCCAATTATGATAGAACTACGATACATTTTCGACAAGTGACTATTTCAACGAGGCTTACCTTTCTGCTTGTAACCGAATATCAAATCGATCCACTGGTGTAATTGACAAGAAACGAATTCCGATTCGAGGGCCTGAAGAGAATGAAAATATGAAAAATAGTTTATCGAATGGAGAACGATTGATTTCGTATCGATTTTTAGACGATCCGTAACGTACCATACGATTGATCCTTATGAATTCCTCCGGAGACGAGGCCCACGGCGGTAGTTCAACGTCGCCGACCGCACTACCGTCTTCCTGCCTACCCAACCGATACCGATTATTGTTCACCAGCATTTCCGGTAGGAAGAAGAACTCCGGAATGAGCTCCTGTTAACAAGCCCAAGTAATTTATACCCAGACAATAAGAATAGAGACGCGAGCATCCGTTGCTCGCGGAGGTGTAACTAATAAGAGCAACCTATGGAAATCATATATTAAACGAACCTTCACGTCGGAAGTGTCCCGCTGGCAGTTCTTCCAGGATAGAGCGATCGAGGAGAATAACCGATTCGGATAATCGAACTTGCCGCCTTGGAGGGCCAAGAACATCGTCGTCATCGGTTCCTGGAATATTAAAATATTTACCATAGGTTCATCGCTTAATTCCTAACATCTTCTTTCCTCTGTGGCCAATATATGCATCGAACCATTTATATTCGATGATTCATTAATTAGAAATTATTCAACACGTTGGCGACCCGTTGTCCTAGATCTGCGTCACGGGCAGGGACTTAATACGTTGACTACTGAATAAGGAAATTAACGATAGTTATGTACCCATTTTGGTATACTAAGTAGTTAAAGAATTAAGTCACACAGACCAAAAATTCGACGTTAACGTGTTAAACCATATGATAAAAGTTTAAATTTGATGATCTTGTTTGTGCCATTTTTTAAATTATTCCAGCTCGAAATCACTACAAAGGACCGTGAGGAGCAGTCGTGTTTGAGCTAGACGACTCTACGTAAAACCGAAAGGTATGCATTTACCCCTCAAACAACCGCCAATCCTCCCGAGACAACGTGCGCGAAGACCCATCGTAGGCCCACTCTGTTATATGGTTTCGCGCTTAAAGTCTTCCTGACTCTCCTCCTGACAGCCTGATGAATGTTAACAGAAGACCTCCCGTGATCGACGTCCGTTTCACGCGTGGGCGTTACGTGCGCGCGCGCGCGCTCGCGTCACCTCCACGTACGATTTATGATCGCGAACAAGATTTTCGACAACACACGGTTGGCGAACGAAACGTAGCAACCGAAGGTAGCCACGAAGTATCGCAACTTTTTCGCGAGGGTACGGAGGAACCGTGACGGGGACACCCGTTAATGGTATTTATAAAACAAGCCGAAAAGAGACAACGATGGCGGCGTAGTTATAAAGCAATAAATTGTTTATGACGCAGTATATCGTCGAGGCGAACAGCGGGGTGTCGTCCAGGCAAAGGAATAATAAAATCCTTATTGACGATTTGCATGTAAATGCACAGGGGATAAATGCTCGTCCATGCGAAGCGGTGCTCGCGCGTTCGGCATTTACATGAAATTGAATCGGCATCCATGGCGAAATTCACCGTTCTATGGCCGGTGCTCGAACAGGGCGCACGCTATCGGCGGAAACGTCGCGATAACGTGGTCTCGCCTAAAGGTTGAATGTCCCTTCTTGGCTTGTCTCGCTAGACGCGCTACAACGAGGAAATTGATACCGCTGTTAACGTAATCGAAACGGGACGATGCTGATTGGAATGAGTATGTGATTTTCGCGTGGATTACGACGAAACACACGTTCGACGAAACCGATATCTCGAAGGAAATGCACACGGGAGAAAAGAAACGCACATATTTAACCGGGAAGGCGGTCTTCCGTTGACTCGGGGGCGGTTCCGACGCCCCCAAATTAGCGTGCAGACACTACCGAATGCGTCGCTGAAATTTATGGCTCGAACTGGACTGGTCTCTTAAATAGACGGTCCCGAGAGCCGACGATTTGTTAGGGTTGTTCCGTGGATTTTAACGGTGTCTAGAATGAGGGGCGGGACCGGAATTAAGTCTTGTTTACAAAATATCATGTTGGAATCAGTCGAGACTATTCCAGGCCGGAAGTAAGTCTCGTTTAAAATTTATATTGGATCAATCTCGGGACTGCTCGAGCCGAAATTAAGTTTTGTTTAGAAAATATATCGGAGGGTGTTTCATTGACTCACGATGTAATCCAAATATTATGTATGCGGTTCAAGAAACACCGAGGACAAGAAACATTTACGAAAATTATCTTTCACAAAGAAGTGTTGGGAATACGTTTTTCGTTTATGCTGCAATATTTTATTACACGGAAAATATAGTAAGACTTACCACACGAATCATCCAGTGCAGAACAAAAGCGGCTGTGGAGTAATGCGTGCCATAATGGAAGGGCGGTATACTATCGTGTTCCCAGCTCTGAAAACGTTCCTCGAAGTACGCCCTTCTGCTTGGATTCAACGCTCCGATTGGCTATTAAAAGCATCGACAAGTTTGAACAATCATTGCAAGATAAGTAATTCCGTTTGAGTGGTGTTGCTCACCTTTGACAGGTCACGATAGTTGCTAGGCAGACTGAGATCAAGCTCTTTCGTCTCGTAATTGGTCAACACCCACGGGAAGACGGGGTACTGGTTCAGGTCATTGTATGTTCGTCCTGAAGAACCAAAATAAACAAATACATTTCACACGCATCGTGAACAATCAACATGCTAGTATAGTAGCACATGGGGTTGATTCACAATTTCTTCATCTACAAAGTGATAAGAGTAATTGTTAATTTATAAATTCAGCTGACAGATCATCGCTATTCCCTCCCTCGTGAACAGACAGAAAAAAATCCAGAGTCACATGGTGCCATAATAAAGAAGAAACTTCCCGTCGACACCTGTCGACGTATCAGGGAAACCAACTAGAACGAAGTAGCACGAATTAAACGCGTACGTAAATGATCCGGCTGCGCTCCTCCCGCCCTGACTGACAAACTTGCTGACGGGTTTTAATTAGCGACAGGGGAGGAGATTAGACGAAGTCAGGCTTGCAGCCGGGCTGCCGTCACTAATGCATCTCGGAATGGGATCCCGCGAGGGTATGGGGCCATGCGCGCGCGGAAGAGTGAGACCTCCAGAAGTGACAATTTCAGGAACGATTAGCCGTCACGGTCTGAGTTATGCGCTTACTAAACGGAGAGCATCTTCGTCCCCCAACGAGGACTGCATTTCATAAAAATAGAATCAGAAAGAGAGACCGTGCGCGCTGCGCGCTTTTCATTGCGGCGAAGGCGGGATGAAAAGTGACCGGGAAAAAATTAGACACGCGATTATACGCATTAAAGGGAAGACTTGGGGTTCTTTATTTTTGGCTGGGTAGATATGAGGCATTCCAGACAGAGTCGCGTCACGTTGTATTGTTAGATCATCGAACAAAATCGAGCTAAATGGCGGAGCAAATTCCATTTACTAGGAAGTTTCCATTCCCTGTGGTGTTGAAGACGGAAGATCATGGTTTTCCTAGATCGAACCAGTGTTTCCAAACACAGAAATTCTAAAATTTCACAAGCATACTGACAAGATAAAAGACGGTATGCGATAGGTAGCAACGCAGCCAGCATCATGAAATCGACGGGTTTCAAGCGCCAAAGGAATCGAATATTCCGAATATCAATCGCGGCGACTGCAAGATTCCCGGTCGGCCTCGTCTCCAAGACGCTCACCGGATACTCGATTCGGTCGTGGACAAGAATAAAAAAGGAAACGGCAGTGAAAGGACAGCGACGTCGGCGGCGGCGGCGGCGAAGTCGCGGCGGTCGCCCGGCACAAGACCCCGTCGTAGCTACAATGCGTCGTAAATCGTGACGCTGCGCGACCGACGGTCGGACGTAAATAATAGTAAGGCCGCGTTATGCATCAAAGTGATTATTAATGGTAGCGTCGCGGTGAGCGAGCGCCCTCGGAACGCTTCACGACAAGCGGAATGCCCGCGACACACGCCCTTCCCTCGCCTCCATGGTTCCTCTGGCCCCTTACTTTTTTACCTACTCCCCCTTCCCTGGCCGTTCCTCCGGAAACAACCTTATAATAAGTGCTGGTCCACGACGGAGAGGCCCGTTTTTAACTCGCCACTCACCGAGATTTAGAGAGACGTACGTATCTACTCTCCCACCCCGTCGGAGAAAAATCGGCAGGAAGTCCTGCGAAATGGTTACAGCCTCGCGACGCTTCCCCGCGGCTTGTTTGGATCGTTATTAAGTTGGCACGTGGGTGGATTTCTCGAGGGGATCGGATATACGCGTGGACAGCCAGTTTTAATTGGGCAGGAACGATTCAAGGAGTAAACATGGTGATTAAGGAATATGAATCTATGGAAATGTGAACTGTCTTGAAGATTGTATATAAATGTCTGGAGAAAAGATTTGAGAGAGAATTATACCTGCGTTAAAAATGAGTGGTCTTTGTGGGTACGAATTAGGGGATGTTAGATTGTCTCTGAGTTGCGATGTTGAGTATTTTAATTGGAGCGAAATTGTAATTGATGTTTGGTGGGTTTAAATGAAGAGTTCTAGTTGAGTGTGAAAACTTCTGCACCGCCGTATGGTATTTTTGCAGTTTGAGTACAGGGAACATAAGGGGAAGATTCGACTGTTAGATTTGATATATTGATCCAGTATCTAAACCCGGATCTGCTGAAACGATTCTAATTCAATTATTCGAAGCTTACAACATCTGTATAACAATGGCAAGATGTGATATGTCATTTACGCATTCTTCTGTGCTCGTTAGTGTCACATATTCTCGCTCCGAGTTAGATAGTCTTATGTTCGGATCAAAATAGCTACGATACGGTCATCTGGAAAGTCTCTCGATCATAGTCGCTAGTTACAGCGACAAAAATTAATATCGATAGAATTAAATGGGTCGACAAGCGAAGTAACGTGGGATCTGCGGAGAATTATGAAACGTGAAACCTCGCGTAAATGTACAGTGAAAAATTAAAACGATACATTCGTAAGCACCTATTGTTGTTGGCGGAAGAGAACGTGAACGAAAACGACAATACGAAGAGATACCGCAACCTAGGATATAGGATCCCTGTGTGGTAATTCTAGAAATTCCATCTCACAGTCTCAATCGAATGAAATAAACCATGGTAACTGCACTATTCGTTTGGATCAGATCAACCAATTTAAATTCTCCAGATAGTGTTAAGATCTTAGGCCACGAAGACGACATAATATCAGTAACATAGAACAAATATCTAACAGATAACTTAAAATCATTATTTCATCGAAATAACTTAATTTTCCGTAAAATTCTCAATTTCAACATCATCAATACGACACTCTACGTCATCGATTTCCTCTATTTTATATTTCACGAAAGTGAATTCAACCTATCCGTACACTGCCCAACGATCTCATAAACCTAATCCTCGGCAGAAAAAAAAGAGCAAAGCCAAAGGACGGAAAGATGCAATTAAACGTAAACCCATCGACTACCTACACAAGAAAATCCACGAAGGGAAGAAAGAGAAGATTACGCACAAGAGGAGGTACAAGATCGAGCAGTGGCGGTGCAACAGCGGTAAAGGTGCACCGAGGTTTCCACCCATGCGAAGCGGTCTCGCATCGGGACACGCGGCCTATCATATTTACATCGGCTCTACTATCATTAATTTTTAATAAACCGATGCGACCGGACAAATAAACAACGGGGATCGCATGCGGGAGCCTGGCAGCGGGACCGGTTCGTTTTCGCAACGTGTTCTCCCGCCGGGCCTTGCCCAATTGCGTTCCCCGGGGCCCTCGATCGGTCTCCCCCTTCTAACCACCACTCCCTCCCCCCTCGAACCACTATTTATTTGCGCAATTAATATATAACGCTCGTAAATACACGGCCACCCTCTGGCATCTAGCGGCGTTCTCGTCGATACACAAATAATTACGCGTCTGCGGTGATCCTCGTCATTAAGCCTGGCCGGTCGCGCGTGGGCGGCCATAAATTCTCCACTTACATAATTCGCGATCGGCTTGTTTACGATCTGCTTACGAATACGAGTCGCTGGGGATCGACAAATTTAACACTAGAACTATTCGAAAATGAACGTGTTTCTATTTCTATCACGTCGTTAAGGAACAGCTGGTTGAGAATATGCAAGTCGTTAAGTTAACGAACTTCTTCACTTTTATACTACTAGCAAAAATTGCGAAGGATCTCGGATAATATATTGTTATGACATTTTAATCAATTTTATAAGAGTTTATGGACTGGTCATGCTTTGGTGGTTCTATGTTAAACAGGACCGACAGAAGTCCATCGATCGCTATGGAGAGGACAGGAGGTGACTAATTAGAGGGAAAATGAGGAAACTCGTTTTATTCTGGGTGTCAGCTGGTCGTTGAATTTTTCTTCTATGCTGACGTGTGAGGTAGATAACCAAGCAGGAAAATGTACGGAAGATGGGACTAGCAGGAAAATGTACAAAATGCGGTGGAAAAGTAAATGTAACCGCGACTGATTGTGAGAAAATGAAGTACACTTATTGGGCAAATACAAAATCGTATATAGCATTTGTGTAGATATTGAGTGTTAACTCTGTTGGGTTAGGTGGGTTAAAAACTGTCCCACCTTTTGCTTAGCTTTTTATGCATGGTGGGATATATTTTAACCCACTAAATTCTTAATAATTCTTGAATCTAGATGAACAGTTTCAAATAACAAATACAAGTTTAAAAAAATACTTGGCCATTTTCAATCGATTAAACGTAGAAATTCCAACGTTTATAATAAAACGATACTTCTTCCCGAATGAGTAGACACTTGGCAAACAATTATTTAATCCCATTAACTGTTTAAAGATCAGAACTTCGCTCTTAGATACTGTTGCTCGCCACTATACGTATTATTCGAATAAAATTCTGTCCAACTCTGGTGTCTATCATGATCACAACCCCAGTACTCCCGCGATACTCGTTATTTGTCGAAACGTGTGAAACGGCTGATCAGCGTGATACAGTAAAAAAGAGAAAAGAAGGAAAAGCAAAGGGGGGAATCTCGAGTTTCGTGTTTTAGGCTCGCGACGCGGAACACAAAGGGGCAGCCGATATTAAACCAAAGGAGAAACAAAGGCGCGGCGCGGTTCGCAGGGGGAAACGGAGAACGCTGGTCCCTCGGGAGAGGATTACCGGGGCCCACGAGCCGGGGATTACTCGTATGGGGTGGCTAACGGAACACGGAGCTGATTGAGAACATCCCTAATACGTCGCGACAGATTCCATCCGCCCGTGTGCAGCCATAGTCGCTCCTTCCTCCACTGGCCATACCCTCATTCCCTCGTTCTCTCTCTCTCCCGCCCTTGCTCGGGGACCGCGGTAAAATCGAGCAACGATCGGGCTGTCCGCAAACGTACATTTTCTTTCCCGCAACCGGTAAGCCGATATGATTTTTTTTTCCTTCTGGACGTTGAGCATCCCCTTTTATTACGGTTACTCTAAACTCGTTCGGGAGAGAATGATTCGGCTATACGAGAAAGCGAAGTTCAACCCTCTGGAGAAAATATCTGAATGAATAGAAAGGTTATGAAAATAGAAAATATTTGCTCGAAGATCTTACCAGCAATCGTGTTGAGGAACATCAGGTATTCGAAGTTCGATATTTCTCTTCGCTGCCATTTCTGCGTCATGTTCGAGCTTCGCATTAGCTGCCTGGGCGACATCATCGACGCCCTCCTGAAAGAACAATGCAACATTGAGAGGGTCGGCTGCTCCAAATACTTTGTGATCACCACGATAAAGAGAACTTTGTACAAAATGGAGGACTGCATAAACGAATTATACTTCTAAGAAGTGAATCAACTTTTTGGTCGACGCGACGCCACATTTTGTCAGAGCCTACGCGCGCGAATTTAATTACAGTACGGAATTCCCTGACGAGATGAGTGTCGACGGCGAGTCGGTTAGGCTCTTCTGCGCAATTACGACGACACTCCCTCCCAATTCGTGAAATCTATTACATCAAGACGCGGTGCTTTATGCTCGCGCTGTAAAACTGGCCGAGCAGTTTTGAGAACGGCGAGGTCCACTGATTTAGGATTTGGGCGCGTACAGCGGATGACATTGAAGGAGGGACGCATGGCGATGACGACCGGATATATAAATTACGGGGGTGCGTACGTTGACCACAAATCTTACCGGAACTGTGAAAATCTTCTGCACTAATCGAAGAGAATAAAAAGGAGTGGGAATTCCGTACAGTATGAATGTATCCCGCTAACTGGATTTATCCATTACACTACCCTCCTTACTTAAAATGTCCAATCTAAGAAATTATTGTTTCAAGATATTTCAAAATATTTAGTGCTCCATATGCTTTACATTTTTCAATTAAAGCTAGAATGATTTGGCTTTTCAAATGATTCTACTAGTTTATATTGTTCTATTAATTTAGATAGTCCTAAGTTATGACTCATGTTTGCTTCAATTTACGTTCAAGATATGTCTAAAAAAATAAAATAGGTAAATATGATCTAAACCATTTCTTATATTAAAATGGCCTACGATGAAAAACAAGGAGGACATCCAAACATTAGATACGATAGAAAATCGGTCTCGGGAGGTTTTCCAATATGGTCGATACCGAGGCACATTTATTTTTCCCGCGACACGAGCGTGGTACGGGGCGTCACGACGCGGATGCACGTTTTATACACCCGGCGGATTATTTTTGCTGGCCAGGAATCTCCCTCGGATCAGACGTCCGAGTTGGCCTCCGTATATTTATGGTCGGCGTATCCTTCTCGCCGACTCGCTCTCTTACTCTCGTATAGAGGAGCGCTTTAATGGATGGATCGAAGCGTGGATACGCGAACCTCTGTTCTCGCCGCCTGTCCTCGTCCCTAGGCTGCGGGAGTATTGGTACCGGGTGGAAGGATTCCTCTGGAACACAATCTCGATGCGAGGACGCGGATCTACACGATCGTTTCGCTGATCATCCGATGCCTCCCTCCATTTCGCGATTTTAATCTCTTCCGCGAATTAGTCCCGTCGTGGCGACTGTTCGACTTATATATTCGTTTGTTTCAGGAATTCGTAACTTCTTAGTTCGCTTAAAATTCTTGGATTAAGAAGGAGTGCTTCGAGGTCTCTCTAAGAACTGATCTCGGATAAACGAGAAAATCTAGCTTGAAAGTATCGTATTGTTCCTTGTAAATCATACAACTTTCTTGGTTTTTATTATTGTCATCGGTGAACAGCTATGATATTTTTTATTCTATGTTCTCTAAATGGTAATACGGGGTTATGTTCACGAATACTAGTAGAATTTTTTCAATAATTAATTATCGTACGTGAAAGTAAAGATCTCCGTGACAATAGAATTGCTTTGTTCTGTCTTTGTTCACAATCGTAGGGTGCACAATTAATCGATAAGAACGAAGAGACAGGAAGGGCATTCGTCGCATAAAATTCCCAGAACGAATTTCTCAATCAACCAAGTCACCGTGGACGTTATTCAACAAAAAGGTCTATTAGTCAATAACACCGGCCAGGATCCATCGTCGCGATGCATTCCTGACGTGTTATGCCATCTGCCAACGAAACTCTTCGATATCCATCCGCGCGCGTCCCTTTATCGTACGATCTCCACCGGACTGTTTCTATCGTGTACAAGAAAGTCCTAGATCCGATCCTGATCGCGTTCGGAATCCCGCGGAACGGGACAAAGAAAAAGAACCGGAATGCGAGGAGCGTGTACCAGGGAGGGGTGGAGTGAGTCGAGGGCCGAGATCCCTAGATCCAGATGTTCGCAAAAGGGGTTTTCGGTGCGCAGAGTCCCGGGTGTCCTTACCTAGTCTGCGGAATCCCGTATTTGATGCCCACGCCGACCCGCGGTAGCGCCTTGATCACCTTTTTCACCGTCGCCTGGTCCGGGAACGCGAACAGGATCGAGGCTGCGGACAAAAAGGCGTTAAAGTGCGGATTATAAGCGGAGGCCCAATTTCGTGGGACGGATCGTGTGTGTCAATCATTCGGAGGGATGGCAGGCAAGGACGAATTTCTTACTCGCATCGCCGGCTTAGACGGACTTTGTTTCATTCTTTTAACAAACGAAGTGCGCCCCGTGATGCACTCCTTATATTTACTTTTGTTACTTACATTACCGGCCAAAAGTATAATTTATAATAATGTAAATAATTTTTCATGGTAATGTAATAATATGAAAGTATGGTCCCGCGTAAAATGAAAACTATAGTATCGTTTATTGAACTTCTCAATAATATTGAATACCAGACAATTGAGAACGCTATAAATACATAAAATCTGCGGTCTACCTCATTATTCTGTTACGATATAACAATTACAAAATCGGTAAATACATATACAAAGAATTTTCAATCAGTTTTACTACATTATGTTTATCAAACCTTTGTAGAATAATATTTCTCTATTTCCTTAATTATCAGACATGCTCCTATACTTCTGGCCGGTAGTATATGTACAACAGTAGGAGAAAAAGTCTTATTTTTCTCTGCAAGATAACTTCTTGTCCTCTATTCGTTTCGAATAATATTTATTTAACCACGGATTTGCTCTCTGAATTAACTGTTATACCGTGTTGTTAGCTATGATCATTTTTTATTTGGAAACTATGTTTGTCAGTCGAAATAATTAATTGGAAGTACATCAAGATCCATCGTGTCTTTATTTAATCGGAGAAAATATATTTCATCGGGAGAGACTCGAGCGTCAGACACGCGTTCAAGAAGTAAAATTAAATGCGGAAATATGAAAAGAGGATACGCGATGAACTTAATTTCACGGCTTTAACAGCATCGGCCGGATTGGCTGTGGCTTCCCCGAGAGTTCAAAGGGTAGCGTGCGAAGCGACAGTTACCATAAATACTTGCGAGTAATTTATGTAACTCCGAACAGAGCGGCAGAATATACGAGTCTGTCTTAATCAAGGAAGAAGTAAAGTAAAACGCCGAATTCACAGAGAGCTGTCGGAGAGTCAAAGAATATTCTAACCTTCCCGTCGACTTTGCCTTTTTGAGCATTAACCGAAAATATTATACCGAACATACGGTAATAATTTGTGGTTTCTCTTCTTTAACAATCAGCAAAAGAAACGTAATTATTGCTAAAAACTGACTCAAGATAAATTACAATTTGAAATTTAATAGCAGCGATATTGCTAGAAATATGTACTGTCTATTTACAAAACCGATTGAAGTTCAAATACATATGAAACGTTAAAGTACACAATAAAAAGGATAGTCAACCGTAAAATACAATATCTCCAACTTAAACACGGAACTCATAAAGCCCCAAACATTCAAACTGCACGAGTAACAAGCTACCATTCGATCTGAAATATAGATCACATATCCGCGAGATAAAGGGGCCTCCGCATTCTTCCAACGTGTAACACGAAAAGTCCGTGCATAAACTAAATAACTTAAGTGCCAAGTGCGCCCGACTAATTAAGGCTAAACGTCACGCCGCGTTCACCGGAGAAAAGCCTTGTAACGATCACTGTTCCGTGGGCATCGAGGAGAACAGGACGATTTTTCAAAGCTCGAGCGAAATTCAACAGGGACCACACAGTGTCCCGTAAAGATCCGTGAAAGTTACAGCGTAGTTGGGGATATAAAGTGAGGACCGGCTCGTATTTTTTTCTTTATTGTTCCAGGATTTATCACGGTGTGTCCAAGCATTTCACCTGGGTCCCGTTAACGAACGCGCGCGCGCGCGCCTGCGTGTTTCCAGTAATTTTTTAATGAACGACGAAGCACGGATGACATTCCGGCCGTTGAGAGCGTTTCAACGGACAACGCATCGAATGTCGGGGATCAGATTAGAATCGAGGGACGACCACGACGGAAATTTATCTGCGCCCATGGAGAAATAATCAGCGGGATTGCGGGGCCCACCGAGGCCCCAGGTATAAGTAATTCTCCCACGTTTGTTTTTAAGTATACGCAACGGCCGACGATCCTCTTCGGAGGAACAACTATATTTCAAGGGAAACGCGGCGTCCACCGATGCTCAACCGACCTCGAGGAATGTTTTAACACCTTACAATGAAATCGAGATAACGAACCGACGTTTCCTTTTTCTTTTTTTTTTTTTTTTTTTTTTTTTTCGTTTTCTTTAATGTCGACGTGTAACGAACGACCCAGCTCTTTATGCCTGTTACCCGTGCGAGATCGAGAAGGATTTTAATGAGCGAGTAAGAAGGACTTTTCGGTGTATTGAACCGGTAGCATCGATATTGAACCAGAAGACATTAATTTCATGTGAAATGGTCTCGAACACTTGAATACCAAATGGACAACTGACACACCGCAAGAGGGAACACTAAGGATAAGGACATATAAATCGTTAAATTTTAATAAACTATATTATTGAAATCAATGTGTTGTCCCATTAATAAGAAGGCTTGTCCTTCAAGCGAGTGAAGTCCTTTAGTCTGTCACACTACGTACAAATCAACCCACCGGTCAGATCAATCACGAATCGTAACATAAGCCAACGTTGATTAATAAAGAAAATAATAATCATATTGATGCATTGTAACGATAACAAAAGTAAAAAGGTGTTATACCTGCTACCTTTTATCAAAGTCTATAACTTGTAAGTCAGTATGTCAAACAGTCTATGTCTTCTTACACGTTTAAAAAAGAATATATATTTAATTTTTAACCGGACCAGACGAATCCCAATAATAGTGAACGAACAATTTCTCAAAGGGATACGAGTTACATACACTGTTAGAAATGGCGAAATTTCATACGTACCCGCGATAACAAAATAAAGAAAGACAGCAGGTGTAGCCGAGCTCGTCCGATAGATCGCGAAAAAACGGACGGCGTAATGCGGCGTAGATATTTATTAGGTAAAAAAGTGCACGGGGGAGCGCACACCTCGGGGCGCGCTCCGGATTCCGTTACCGTTCTGCCAGATTAGATCGCGTCGTGTGAAATAATGCAGAAAGGTACGGGCGACCGGAGCAAGAAACGGAATGCTCGTCGATTCGAAAAGGAGGCCTCCGCGCCTCCACCATTACAGAACCGACGAGACGATCGTTTGAAAACGAACGAAAACGAATCGCACGACTTACTTCTGCTGGCCAGGAAGATCTCGATGGCCACATTCTGGAGCAGATAGCGGCGGGAGAAGATCGCGCGGACCTCCGAGAAGTACCATTTTCCGTGCAAGTGGTCGCAGTACTTGAGCACCTGAAACAAAGAAAAAAAAGAAACCGGTGTTAACGCAGCTGTTTTTTTTTCTAACAGCCTGATTTCAGTAATTTCCGATTCATGGAAAAAAGGGGAACTGTTAAAACCTGAAGCTAGTTTCTTGTTCTTGATCACGATAACATGTTCCTTGATTTATTGACTATTAAGAAAGACAACACTCTGTTTACCTGTTTGAATTCAAGTTTTTTTCAGCGATCAAGCCAGTCAACTGAAAATAGTAAATTGTACAACATTTTTGGTTTTGTAAATTTATTCCAGAAAAATTCATATTTTTCTGTATATTTAATACGTGCCAGTACACTACGACTTCTGTAAGCAAGAACACTGGCTGAACGTCCGTAAGATAAGATCTGTCGATCGACCTTTAGCAGTGCTTCGAATATTCTAAGTTTCGCGATCTTTCAAGTCCTGTCGATCGTCCTACATACGTGTTCGCTCTAAAGTTCTTGACCTCCTCGGGTATTCGAAGGAATTCATCGACTTAACGCTAACGAACATAGACATAAAGGATCCGAGGAAAGGCTCGAGGATTCGAAACGACCGGAAGCAAGACGGAACCTTCGGTCGGGGTAAGGGTCCAAGAAACATCGAAGCGGTACGAAGTCAGGGTGCGATCGCATGGCTGACTGTAAGTATGCAACCTGGATGCAGTGAAGTGTGATGTGATATAGTGAGACCAGTGCCGGTTGCAAGATGGCCGTCATGGTAGGAGGAGCCTCCTGCTGAGCCGGGAATCGATCCCAGGACTTCGCGGACTTGCGCTCTCGAACGAGTCGTGAACACAACTCTCGTAGGCGAAAAGGGGGAGGCAGAAAAAGGACGAGACGCACCAACGGAGGAGAAAGAGGCCGAGGGACAGGACAAAAGAAGGACAGAGCCCAATTTACCGCCCTACGGACAGCGGAGGCCTTTCAATTTTTCCCTCTTAATGAGCAGTCGCCGCCGCCGCCGCCGCCGCCGCCGCCGCCTTACGTCGTTATATGTCCTTACGCGCTGAAAATGAAATTATCCTCGATATAATCCGGCAGAACGAGCCATTCCGCGGTTAACTCTTTCGCGGTAGCAAAAACCGCCGACGAGATTGTATCTGTCGTTGCTATGACCGTCGAAATTTTTGTTCTTGGCGACAATAGGGGTTGGGGTTGAGGTTATTAATGATCGTTATATAATAAGTTAGTGTTTAAAAATACCTGTTTTTAATCAGAATAATTGAAGCTTGAGTCAATGTTAAGTTCACCGTTAAAAAAATATCATATATTTGTGTAGTCCTACGTATATGTATAATCTTCGTGCATACATACAATGATATATTATTTTCTGGTAGCGACCTACCCGGATTCGCAGAAGAAATTCTTACGAAAGTATAATCTTGTTGGCTGTTCGATCGTTCCGTCTGCTTCAATGTTAAGAAGTATTAAATAATTCATATCCACGTATACCAGGAGAAAAAACCAGCTACACACCACAAAGAGAATGCCAAGCGACGAAGTACATAAAATAGACAACAAAAATGTTTTCGTGGCCGGAGGAGAGTATCGGTGAGCCGTCCCTAGAAGTTGCGGGAGATCAAGTAAATACGCGAGAGAGATGACATTAGGGGTGGCGAGCTGCAATGCACGCATGTCGAAATCTAATTACAAATACATAAGCGGCTACGGGGTCTCCAGGGACCATAAACGTCACGTCAACTCCGGGGGATTAAGTACAACGCGTACTGTTTGTATTAATAAGTCGTCGCAGGACCATGTAATTTTGTCAGAGAGAATCATTCGTGAGAATCTGCCATAGTAAAAAAAATAAGACAACACTTTTGACAATAGTTACTAGAACCACGCACATCTAACTCTCTAATGTGTCTAATTAATTTCAGATGGATGATCGCTGTCATACTCAACCCTGCTGTTGACATTTATTCTTCACATTTGTATTCCTTCAAAGTTTGAAATAATTTATTCTGAAGAAATGGGAAATATACAAAAAGTAGACGTAAAATTTAAATATATTAGATACTAATAACAAATATTTGAAAACCTAATACCTATTTAAATATAATCTTCATTTCAGGTCATGTAGATCCGAGTAGAACAGCAAGTTTAATAAAAACAATATTTATGGAATAATATTGACGAGGACATTCTCGTTAGTGTTATTGTTAGATATGTTGATTGTTAGAATTGTTTCGCTGTCGATTCGACGCACGAGATCGGGGAAAAGAGGCAAGGGGTGGCGAGACACAGAGCCAACCCCTAAGAACGATTGCGCAGGCTCCTCGCAAACACTGTGTGAAATTGATAAAAGCCGTGTCGTGATACGGCATTCGTTGTTTGGATGCTGTGATCGTGATGTAGATACAACACGCGCGGTATATCGTACTGATACATGGTGGTTGTTCGCCCCTTTATACTCCCAAAGACTATCAATTCGCAATAGAAGTATGTATATACTAGAAAGTATATAAATTCCATAAAAGTCAAGTACATATAATAATAAAAAGACGAAGTATAAAAAATGTGCACCCCTAATACCGTACAACAAACTTGAAATTGAAGCTCACTGCTACTTACTTACGTTAAGTTCAACCTATCACCCCACGCAAAAATGTTCTGTATCTAGTACATAACGTATAGACTGCAGATTTTATATATTTATAGAGTACCCAATTTTCAGAAATTCAGTACAGTAATAATTTCAATAAATTTTAGTAAAGCTTTCATTTTATGTGAAAGTCGATAGAACCTTAGATAGAGACACGACGAAAAGTACATGTTCTACTGGAGTGAGTGGTTGAAACAGCCGACACCCCTGCATGTGTCGTTCCGAGAGGAGCCTCCCAGCCACCGGTGTCGCGCGACTAATATGTTTACACGTTCGATGAACCGTGCTGGTGCATCAGCAGAGACGCGGAGACCGAGAAGAGAGAGAGAGTGTACGCGGTTAAAAAGAGCTCTCGAGGAGTGGCGGAGTGTCAAGTGGTGCCGCGATTAGTGTTCCCCATGCGGCGTTCATCTCTCACCGGCCAGAAATCGTCCCCGAACTCAGCAGTGCGTCCGGGGGTTTCACGACGGACAATGGGGCGTCGTGATGTAACAACATGTGTCGCGTTCACAGGGACCCCTTGGCTGGCTGCTGCCTCTCTCTATGTACACCCATAGGGCACCCATAGAATGGGGACCACTTAGCAGCCCGCCGGCGGTATACAACAAACAGATTAAGCACCGGACAATAATAGACCCCCCGGCCTCTCCTGCTCTGACCCAGGCTGTCTACAAGAGGCACCCTCTCTCTTTCTGGCGGCTCCTCTTCCGAAGTGCGAACCACTCGAAATCACGATACAGCTCGTGGCTAGGCAGCAGAAAGGGAGGAGCACCCCCAGGTGTGGTTTATTCGATTCCCGGATATGAACAGCCCAAGTGGCCTGATCATTAATTATATCTCCACATACACCGGCAGGGAAACCGGCGCCAGGGAGTTTAACGAGATGCTCCTTTTGGAACCTTGTCGCTCGGTAGAATGATCGTGTTTTATCAGACTTTACTATCCTATGTGGATAACAACGATGCTTGCCGGTGATTGGTTGTACATTAAAGAGCGTGAATCATTGACGAAACGTGTCGAGGCTATTGATTTGTAGCTAGAAATCCTAGAAATTTTATTTCTCTGTTGCACGCGACATGTTAAAAACTGATGTTTCGAGTGTTTATGAATCGTAAATGTAAAATATTCCAAGAGTGTAGGGGAAGAAAGTCGAATTTGAACCATCGCCTAGGTTGGACCACTACTGTCAATTTGTCTTTTAATTAAATTAACCAGGTTAGTATATAAGCAACGCATATTTTCATACGGCGCAATTGCTTAGACATGAAAAGTTAGAGTAGTAGTCTAACCTATGTAGGCGATTGTCCAAATACAGCAACCTTCCCCTATATCTTTTGGGGTTCCCCCACTCTATCGTGTGAGAAAATACACTTGTCTCTATATATTCTCTCTATATTCAGTCTTCTTTTCCCCATCGTCTTAAAATCACTTCACTCTAATTAAACTTCTTAAATGAAAGTTTATTACACACACACGCTACGAGACGAATTTCACGGAAGTTCTAAAATGTATCGCTCTACCGAGCGTTCGTTGCGTGAACGCCTGCCGGATGGGGAACAAAACGTTCGAGAGCCATCAAGACGATCCCGAGCGACAATGAGTTATGCGTGCCACGTGCGTGTTCTCATACCTTTATTACCGTATCTCACACGAGATAGCGCATCGCGGCGTCCGGACGCACAAAGGGCTCCTGGCGACGCGACTGGCCTCGTTTCCCTTATTAAACGTTGGATTTGCTGGCTACCAGTACCGGCAAAAAAGGTGTCTAAACCGGCGTAACACCGTCCCAGCCTTTAAGGGACACACGGCTTCCTCCGCGTACCGGACTCGGAATGTGGATCTCGCGAAGCCGACGTTGTTAGGTCGGTGAACGAAAGTAATTGGACAGAACGAACCGAGTTAATGGCGCTCGGTACACGCTAAACGACAATGTTCCCCCATTTGATTAACCCGTATCTGGGCTACATTGGTACCGCGAAACAACACGATCTGTTGTCAGGAATAGGATAAACTGTCAGATATTACATAAATGTGAATACAATGCCCAAGTAGGATACTTGTTCCAGCTTATCTTTGTCCTGCATCACTGAATCCGGATTCCAAATCACGAGTCGAAAATTGTTCAAGAAGACTGTATTGAAAGATATTCTAATCTAGTTTCTGTTCATAAAACTGCAAAGAATTCTCCCAAAAAGACTTCATTTTAAGTAATTCAGGTCTCGCACAATATGTTTAAGATCAATTTTTTCAAATTTTTTACGCTAGCAGCTTCCAATAGGAGCACAGTACTCTCGATCCAGATCGAATCGCGGGATTCGAGAGCCGTTCTTCTCTCGTGTCATTAACCAAGGAGAAAAACCAACGTGAAATACATACTACACACTGGAGCACTCTCTAGTTTTGCCGGCTGTTGGAGCTCAACGACTGAGCCCTGGATTATTCGGGATTACGCGTGGATGTTCATTCGAGCTGATTTACAAGGCCGCCTCTCGATCCTGGCGGACTGGTCCGTGTCGGTTCGCCTGGATGGATGCGTGAAACGTCGTGCCGCGTCGTCGATTCTTCGTTGAAAACGTTACACAATGAGAAACAAACGCCACGCAATAGGAGCCGGGCAAGGAGTTCTTTTACCTGCCGCCACGTAAAAGGAGACCCGAGGAATGTTTTGGCAGACTCAGCATTTGCCTAGGACTGCTCTTTTAAGCGAACTGGATACCACCGGAGTCTCCGAGAGAGGACCGATCGGCTTATTAGATATACACGACTGGAGGCGAACACGATGGAAACTTCTTCCTTCTAAGTTATTTGGAAAGCTTGTAAACGCTACGAATATTCTGACCTTGGAAAGAGGAATCGAATTGAATAACTTTGGAAAAAATTTGCTTTCGAGTAAAAATCAGAACTTGGCGAAATTTGACTGACAGTAATCGTTGAAGACCCCTTTAAGGATCATCCTCTGCATTAATATAGGTGAAATTTGTTAACAGGAGGCTGTCACATTTATTTCACCACATTACGTATCAAATTACGAATCTTATTTCAAAATGAAGATAAATGTATCACAAAAAGCATGATAGAAGTATAAATCATGAGGACACATACATCGACATTGCATACTTTGTACACATAATTGTAATTTTGGAAGTATATAAACGAATACGTGAGTCACTGTATAGTGGAAATTGAAGATGATTATTACAGTAAATGAGAGAACACTTCTCCCCTTTAATGCCTTTTCTTTCCATCTTTTATACTTACTCGCAGGATACTTACAAACGAGCAGGAAACCACCCCCTCTTCGAATGAAAGATGGTCTCATGGAAGGCGTCATCCCGAAACCGATCCCCCGGCTATCCCGTGAGTGTACAAATAATTCAGATGATAAACGAATTAAGTCGAAATGGGATGATGAAAGGCACGTTTAGGGCGCAAGAAGAGGCCGGCTCCTGCATTAATGCGAGGGCTGATGTAGCAGAACGTTTGACCCCTCGGTCCCTTACGCGAAAACATCGCTCCGGAGGAAGACGGAGACTAAAGGGGGAGGCGAAACGGAGGGAGAAAGATGCACGTGCTCGACTCATGAATCAAGTCGTATTAGTGAGAGCATAGCAGGACTGGTGGGCACCAATCTACTACTCCAACTTCAAGTAGATTGGATTTCTGAACTTTATTCAATTATCCGGGAACGAGGCGGGCAAAACGAGCAGCAGCACGCCGTTGAGGGCTTTCCGCGAATAATTCTTGCTACGCATGGTCTTGTTGCGTATTTTCAACCATAGAACAATGGATAGTCCTAGCGATTTTGTTTTACAAGAGCAAAATATTACTGAAGTATTTAAGATTTTAAAGCATCGGATATTTCATTTGTAACAAGGCTTAAGTCTTTGTTGGGGTTGTAGGTTTCTGCTCGAAGAGTCCGAGTCTCAAAGCGAACTCAATTCCTATTCCCAGTTTACGGCAACACTCTTGGTAAATAACCTTTTCAAGTCACTTTGCGTCGAGGGTCAAAACATTGTTCCCGTAAAAAATACCACAAACCACTTCCACAAATTTCAATGTAATAATTTAGGACTTATAGGATACTCATGTCCCAAGGGTGACTTTTAGTGACCCATAGGTGTAGCTGCAAACCATCATTTTCAGGAAACAGTTTTCCCACAGGTCATAAAAGTTGCTTGTATACACACAACTAGACCTCACACCAAAGAAACTACTCTCTGTGTTACTGTCTGCCCATGGTAACCACCCTTCCGCCGACATCAAAGACAGGAACGTCCTTGTGGCCATAAACCGGTGGCGCGTCGTTAGATTTCCCTCGACAGCAAAAGGGTTAAAAAGGTCGACAGGAGGACAGACGACTATTCTACGACACACACACACACACACACAGATGCTGTAATCTCAGAAATCTTATGGGAAGAACGTTCGACATACGAGGATATCTTGTCTGGTTATCGATACGTTCTTGGACAGGTATTCTCACCGTGAGTTTTTACGATCGCGACATAAAGCAGAAGCATTGGTAAGCTGTGGTGTCGTCCAATACTAGATATTCCTCGCCTCGAGCATCTGCCATTCGATAGTGTACGCGTTGGTATTGCTGGCTGCGGGGGCTGTTCCTGATTCGCGAACAAAGAGGAAAACGTTCGTGGTGTTCGCCAGTGTGGTAACGGAATTTCTGTTTCTTATTCGAATGTCGAATATTCAAATGACCCCATGCGACGGGATTATCGACGCGAAATGGTCGTGCGTGGAATTCTCATGCGACCCCATCGAGGGGGACAATACGTTCTCCGGTGACATGTTTCTGCTCCGGCAATTCATTCGCGGGTGAGACAAGGAGGGGCGAATTGATGTCACTTGATGGTTGTTAATCACACGAGTGGGTGGAAATCACGACATCGAATTGAATTGAAATTTGAACGAAAGAACACCAGTAGTTGGAATCATAAGTTGAACCATAAATCCTCCGTTAGAGACCAATACCGATCGAAACCACCCTTACGTCAAGTTTTGAACAAAGACAATTTCCCAATTACATTAACTCATTATGAAATTCCAAATATTCTATTTCAACTCGAATAAGGTAGAAACGAAAACATATATCTTTTGTAATAATAAATAATCAACCAGTATCTACGAATCAGTCCCCACATCAATCCAAATTTGAATGCAGGGGTGGATTAATGTCACCCTTATCGTGTTGCGAGGTTTACCATTATTCGCTCCCCCTGTATCTATCGTCGGTGCCAAAACAATCCGGCTAGGTAAACAAATGAATAAAAAACTGAAAAAAAAACACAGGGTGTACATCGGATCGAAAGGGTGAAAATGCGCACGATGGTGTACAACGAGAGCGGCCGGTGCGGCGCAGAGGAGCCCGACTCGGTAGAGGAGGAACGATAGGAGGCGTGGCGAGGACGCGCACACTCCACGTGACCCCGTCGTTTCGGAAGGCGGGACTTTGGGAACCCGGTACACAACTACAAGGGCAGTTGAACGGGCCGGTGGTCACCGGGGCTCTCTCTGTCCTCGCGCGCGCGCGGAACACCTCGAGTTGCGTTCGTTCCACGTACAACACCTGCCGTACGATTGCTCGCTCGTGCACGATTTCCTCGTCCGTGACTCCTTCCATCGAGAGTATCTTCCGCGGACACCACGTTAGTCGAGCGCCAAATAGGAATCGACACCGATTTTCTTTTTCTTTTCGGAGTAACAACGGATAAACCAGACCATGGAGGACAGTGGTAACGACACGTCGATCAGGCTACCTCGAGATCACGCGAAACAACGAGGCTGATCGGGCCTCCCGACAGAGCTGATTGTCCCTCTGCGATCACATTCAGCCCTGTACAGAAACATGTTGCTGCCGCAGGATATGATGGCAGCGCAGTCCAAGATGCTCTATCAAATGAACAAATACTACGGGGAAAGGGTACAGGCCCGTATGGGCCAGGTACAGAAAACGATCCGCGAGGTGTGCAAGGTGGTGCAGGACGTGCTGAAAGAGGTCGAGGTACAGGAGCCGCGATTCATTTCATCGTTGACCGAGTGCAACGGCCGTTACGAGGGCCTCGAGGTGATCTCGCCCGGCGAATTCGAGGTGGTCCTCTACCTGAATCAGATGGGTGTGTTCAACTTCGTCGACGACGGCACCCTGCCGGGCTGCGCTGTACTGAAACTGAGCGACGGACGGAAGAGGTCCATGTCCCTATGGGTCGAGTTCATCACCGCGTCCGGTTACCTGTCCGCCCGGAAGATCCGCTCGAGATTCCAGACCCTGGTGGCGCAGGCATGCGACAAGTGCGCGTACAGGGACTCCGTGAAGATGATCGCGGACACCACCGAGGTGAAGTTGCGTATCAGGGAGAGATACGTGGTGCAAATTACACCGGCGTTCAAGTGTTCGGGCGTGTGGCCAAGATCGGCGGCGCATTGGCCGATTCCGCATATACCCTGGCCACATCCGAATCTGGTGGCAGAGGTGAAAACCGAGGGTTTCGATTTGTTGTCTAAAGAGAGCGTAGCCCTTCAAGGGAAACAATCCGCGATGGAAGGGGACGCCTGGGTTTTATCCTTCACCGAAGCCGAGACGAGGTTACTACAGGGTGGTTGTCGAAGAAGATGTCTCAGTATACTGAAAACACTGAGGGACAGACATCTAGACCTTCCTGGGAATCCGGTGACCAGCTATCACATGAAAACCTTGCTGCTCTACGAATGCGAGAAGCATCCCCTGGAGACCGAGTGGGACGAAGGATGCCTGGCGGATCGTATTAACGGGATCTTCCTGCAGCTGATATCCTGCCTACAGTGTCGAAGGTGCCCCCATTACTTCCTGCCCAATTTGGATCTGTTCAAGGGGAAATCACCAAGCGGCCTGGAGAACGCCGCGAAACAAGTCTGGAGACTCACCAGAGAGCTATTGACCAACAGTCGTGCACTAGAGAAGCTTTAGCCGGATTGTTCGATTGGCTCGGTGGACGAACCGAACGTTCTGTCAGGGGAGAGATTCGGTGAATTCGCGTGAATTACGCTTTCGAGATACTACCGCTTTCGCGCCGGTTCTTTGCCCGCTTTTTTTTACACTCGCCGTGAACGTGGATCGTCTACTTTCACCGGTTACTTTCCGATAGTAGCTTGAACGTATTAGAGTCTGGAGATGGTGCAACGATCGAAACTGGGGCCGTAGACTTTAATCGTTGTTTTTGTATTTTTCTTTTCTTTTGTTAGTAAACGGCACGGACATATCGAAGTCAGACTTCGATTACCGGTGCAACGGTGCGTTCTGGTGCAATATCTTCATCGAGATTCCGTTTCTGCCGCGATAAATTATTGTTGCTAGGTTTTAGTTTCGATCCAGTGCGATTGGCTGTTTTTCGTTGAATTCCGTCGACCAAGTCGCGAGACATCGATCGAGATCGATGAGGAATTCTTGAAATTTTGAAAATTTTTACCACACGTTTTGACGACCTGAAGCTTTTAACTGACAATTGAATGTCGTGCTTACTAACAATATACGAACGATCAACTAAATACTCTGTTAGGTACTCTTACCTGTTCAAATATGGCTGATGTGAATATCGTCGTGTGATCCGTTGTCGTTATTAATCTAATGTTTATAATCGGTTAGCGGCGAGCTTCCGACGGTAGTTGGACACTACGTATTGTTATATGTACATACTTTTTTATATTATTTAAACGATATTTATTTTTACTCGAATCGATGTTCGAACACATAATGTAAATAATTAAATAAACGCATCTCGTCTCGTATCAAGTCTCTGTGAGTCATTCGAGCGAACCCTAAATCTTGAATATAAGTAGAAGATCGTCTGTTTGGAGCACTTTATCATACAGTTTGATGCAAAATAAATTGACAATTTCCGTATATGTAATTGTTCAATACATACGTCTCACACGAAAATGTACTTTAAACGAATTTACGTGGAATTCTTTCATATTTTTCTGAAATCTAATACAACACAAACAGACTCTTCGATATATTTCATACTCTTCAGTTACTCTGTAGTCTCACAGAACTACTACATTTTATTACACTACTTAACGAAGTTACAAGATGCAATTTCTGCGATCTTTCGGAAACTCTAGACTCTACCTATTTTGACTAGTGCATTTCATATTTTCTAATTGTGCACTTACACCTTCTCCACTGATCCTAATGGCTTTTGTACAAAAGTCTGACCATAACTCGCTACATCTACTTACTACGATGCTCTTTAACAAGGCAACATTTAAGAAAGAAAAAAAACCATCAATTCGGCAGCGAACTGCACAGAATAAAATGAATAAATTCATCAAAAAATCTCACACATCACTAAATTGTACCACGGTTTCAAAGAACACCCAGTAGAAGTTATCTCGATAATTGCCCATTATGACAGTCAATGACACACAGATAATTTTTCAGTCGCCAGTTAATTTAAGCCGGAAATTCACCGCACGGGCCAAGAATATAAAACCATCCCGGGGCGTAATTATTATCTACGATATTAACACTTCCGTACGCATTCGAGGAGATTGAAACGCCTCGTCAAAACATCGCGCTACCGAGTTTCATTGCCGCTATACGCCTACGAAAGAAGTCCCGATCTCCCTCCGGTTCTTATCTTAATTCCCGCCTGAAATTTCTCTCCTTATCTTTCTCACGTTGCAACGGACGACGATTCGTTGGCCACTCGGTTTCCACGCCGGTGTACCACGCGACCCAGCCGGATCGTTACGGAATTTACGTTATTATTATTGCCCCGTAAAACAAAGTGAGAGAGGAAAACGTTTCCACCGTAGGACGCGAATCCAATGAAGCACACTTTACGCGCCGTATCTTGCAATTTCGACCCGCGATTTACAAGCCTTAATGGTAGAGTTATCGGTGTCGTCGTTAAACGTAGATTTTATACCGACTTTTTTTTCCACGGTTGACCGCGGGCCGGTTCTCAATAAAACGGCTGTAAATAAAACCGTTCCCCTTTTGCACGGGCGCCTTCTCTGATAACTCAGGCTCCGACTCTCGTACCCATCGCGAACGAAATTTCTTATTTTAGCGAGGAGGGAATACGACGCACGCCCGACACGTTTTGCAACAATGTTCTCGAGAAACTGCTCACGGAAAGAGCCTTTCGACGGTGGGTATTACGAGAGGCTTCTGGATGAAAATGTCAATTGAAAAACAGTCTCTCTGATTGGAGACGTTCTATGGGAACTACTCTGTTGAGGATATGTTTGTTTTGTATAAAACAGCCTGTGTAAGTTTGATAGTAAAGAGGGTTGCAGATGAACAATCGAACGAATGTTGACTTTCTGGAGTAAGTTGGTGAGGCTAACATATTTTGGAAATGTACCATTCGGATAGTATTTTAATTATGAAGGTTGATCCTTTTATTACCAAGGCCTTCTCTTTTGTATACATATACATGTAGGGAACTATCTTGGTTGTTCAATAGAACAATCTCGATTGAGATTTTATGTCATTCTATTTTAGTGCTCTAGACGATTACATAAAATGTATCTAAAAGTACAGCTGGGACCACTTTGGGTGAGTTTGCATATGTTCCATTCCTATACAACTTCCATTAGGACATTCCAAAACGCCTGAATCTTAGATAATATCACTCCTAACAATCCGATTTGAAACATTTCATTATTACCTAAAACAAACTGCAAAAACCTATCTCATTGTCCCTTCATGTTACAAACTCGAAAACCATCCGAAAACGTATCAAAACGATGAGCAAAAATTCACTCGCGGCTGAGGGGTTACCCAAGCGTGATCCCCCTGTTCGAGCCGGTCTCCACCATAACGAAAATTTCGGAGCAGCTCAAAGGGGTTGCGGAGGAATGGCCGTGTGTCCACGAGCACGAAATAAAACAAGTCTAATCTACATAATTCATGGGGGAAGAAGGGCTCCGCTTTGGGGTTAGCCGCGTTGCTGGCTTCGTCCTTCGAGGTGGATAACGTATAGGTAGAACAAGCCACGGATCGATCTTGTCGGTCTGCCGCGGCGGGTCACGCCTCCGTGGCCCCTTCAAGCTTCGGGATTCGTCGAATGGCGGACCACGTGGCGTGGTCTGGGTTAGGCCATGGGTTAGGTCTTGGCACGCCCATGTTAGGTGCTGGAGAGCGGGTGGCGCGGAGGAGGTTAACGACAGCGCAGTCGACAATCTGCTCCTGCACGGAGTCGCTCGCACACCTTGTCTTCCCGCTTCTCGTTCGTGTCTCCGCCGGCGACCGGCGTCCCTTTGCGACGCGACGCGAAAAACCGGCCCGTGAGAACGAGTACATATATATCTAATCAGGAATTTACAGTTTTCCAGTTTCGACTGGATTTGTTTCTACACGAAAGAAGTAACGGGATTGTAAATGGAGGAACGTCGACGACATATCGAGTTTCGTTAAAAAAGACCCAAGAACCTAGGTCATAAAACGAGACCCCCAAGCAGAATGCGGTGATCGTCAGTGAAGGAGTCAACAGAGAAGCCTCTCGAAAGGCTTCAAGCCACGCGCCGCGCCGCAACGATGCTGTTGCCGGCTGATATGCTGGCGGCCCAGTCCAAGATGGTGTACCAGATCAACAAGTACTTCGGAGAACGTGTGATGACCAGGAAGAGTCAGGTGATGAAGACCATTCAAGAGGTGTGTCGCGTGGTGCAGGATGTACTGAAGGAGGTCGAGGTCCAAGAACCGAGATTCATCTCCTCGTTGACCGATTACAACGGACGTTTCGACGGATTGGACGTGATCTCGCCGACGGAATTCGAGATCGTGATTTACTTGAATCAAATGGGGGTGCTGAATTTCGTAGACGACGGCACGTTGCCCGGTTGCGCGGTATTGAAACTGAGCGACGGACGAAAGAGGTCTATGTCCCTTTGGGTGGAGTTCATCACCGCCTCCGGTTACCTGTCCGCCAGGAAGATTCGTTCGAGGTTTCAGACCCTGGTCGCGCAGGCCTGCGACAAGTGCGCCTACAGAGATTCCGTGAAGATGATCGCGGACACCACGGAAGTGAAATTGCGTATCAGGGAGAGATACGTGGTCCAGATCACGCCAGCCTTCAAATGCGCTGGACTATGGCCTAGATCGGCCTCCCATTGGCCCATAGCGCATATACCCTGGCCCCATCCGAATATCGTCGCGGAAGTGAAAACGGAAGGTTTCGATATGCTGTCCAAAGAGTGCATAGGCCTCCAAGGGAAACAGTCTGCCATGGAGGGCGACGCCTGGGCGTTATCCTTTATCGACGCTGAGAACCGTCTGCTTCAAGGTGGCAGCAGGAAGCGTTGCCTGAGCATCTTGAAAACTCTAAGGGATCGTCACCTTGATCTACCCGGAAATCCAGTCACCAGCTACCATATGAAGACTCTATTGTTGTATGAATGCGAGAAGCATCCTCACGAGACCGAATGGGACGAGACGTGTATCGCGGACCGCATCAACGGAATTCTATTGCAACTGATCTCTTGCCTGCAGTGTCGGAGGTGTCCTCACTACTTCTTGCCAAATCTTGATCTATTTAAGGGGAAATCGCCGAGCGGGCTGGAGAACGCAGCGAAGCAAGTGTGGAGACTCACTAGGGAGTTGTTAACGAATAGTCGCGCTCTGGAGAAGCTTTAGTCGAAAACCGTGGTCCACGCAGAGGATGTGTGTGTGTATGTGTGTGTGTGTGTGTCGAATTGTAATATGGAATATACGAATCAGAGGATGAGACTGAAGAGAAATTTTGGACAGCCATCGACTAAGATATCAGTCGACATTGTAAATCAAGAAAAGAACTGCGATTTACGAGAGTTATCAGCTAGTAGGAGAACCTGTGAAACTGTACAGGAAAGGAATTGCAGTTTACTTGGAGGATTGTACACCGAGTAATCGACGTGTTGAGGGTGAGGAACGGTGTGTCAATCGAATTTGGAGCAGTCAACTCAAACTACGAGATCGAAGACGGAGATGACGAACCAATTGGAATCCTTCGACCCTCCCGAGGACACCAGAGCAGTCATCGAAGATTCTGTGACCGATATGACGTGTAGTGTGTGCTTGCCACGACCGTAACGAGAATATTTTACGCGTGCATGTGTGATTTTGTGTATCGCGGACGATCGAACCAGTGCCATAAAAAAATGATTAACGCTAACGTCAAGAGAATTTTTGTTTTCGTTTCGCGGGCACGAATGGCCGCCCGCCGAGACCAGTAGAACTCGGCGCGAGAGAGAGTCGCCCGACGGCATCTAAACGTCGAATCGTTACTTCAGCGTGTGAACTCTTAACCGGTGATATCTATTCCCGTTTTTTTTTTTTTACTTTACACGGCCACGAATCAGAAATTTCATGCATGTCGTCAGAGTTCATACGATCGACAGAGAATTTTCCGACTAAGGATATGACAAAGCACAATATCGAAAGTATTTTACCAAATTAATCGAACGAAAATTAAGTGTTCACCACGGTTACAAGTCGCTTGTTAGTCTTCTCTTCTAATCAATTATCCTGCCCCCCCCCTCCCCAGTCGCTATGTAAATACATCTTAAAAGATATTTATTGAAGTGTACACGAAAAATTGTGAAATACAATGCTATTTATATGGAACCAAACAGTGATATGATTGTCATAATTTCGACTCGAGAACAAACCACCCACTCCTTTTACCTACGTAGCAACCGTGAAAAATCAGTCGTAAATATCGATCGTTAAACGTACGGCGCGACGAAACGGAGTTAGGACTCGTAAATTTTATACCCGATCTTGCGCGTTTTTGTGTATGCCTCGCCACTGGAGATCGGGAGGAGCCAACGAGGAGGACCGAGACCTTGTGCGCGCGGGCGCGCACGCGTGAAACCACACAGCAGCAGCACGTATAAAATTCCGACGAATTCGATTTCGACGAAACGGAATGTTTAATGCGGTCGGTTCTCGTTCGATTCGTTCTCTGCTATAATTTCTCCCGGTGTTTTGTCTGGACGAATTTTTGCCGTCGTCTAGGCTCGCCGTTTGTCGATGAAAGATAAAAATATGGCGAAACGATGTTCCCCATCCGGTTAAACGATACTGTACGATCATTCTTGTACTTTGACGATGAATTTGATTTCTTTGAACGCACGACCGCATTTCCATTTACTTCGCTGTTTGCAATAATATGTATTTTGATAAGTGTATATACTGTTTATCGTGTTTTAAAATAACAGAGTGGAGACCAGGTTTATCGGTAAATTCGACAGGCGAATGATTAACGAAAAATATAGAAAGAGGATAACGTTAGTTACAAGTCAGCCACAAAGTCGAATGTATAATCGTTCTGGGGTTCGATAACGAATTCTAGCTCGGTTCGCCGGAACGGAATACTTAATGCGGTTGCTTGTCGTACACCTCGTCGTTCGCAATAAAGTGTGTCGATATACATGGCTTTTGTCGTGCTATGTCTTCTAGAATTTTGTCTTTTATAAAGTTTCAGTTCATTTTAATCGAGTAACAATTTAAAGGCTTGTAGATCGAGTCGTATAAATGCTTTAATAGTATTGATTCTGACTTTTGCAGATTCTAGAATTCTATCAAATTTGTTTAAAAGGGCACATTTACTATATCCGTTAATATATTGTCAGGAGATTTAATATCATGTTATTTCAATTAAAAGAACAATCGTAGTATGCATAAGAAATTATAAATAGGAAGATAACGTTTCGTTTGGGCTGTTCATGGAACTATTCTTCTCATAGTATATCCCACTCGAATTATTCTATCGGCCAGTTAGCCAGTAATTTTATCCCTCGATAACCAAATCATGTGTTATCTAGACAATCCACCTGCAGCGGTTATTTAAGCCTTGCAGTTTGCCTACAACCAGTTCCAGGCACCTAATATCTCCATTGTAATGTTCGATATACGATCGCCCCGCGGTAATCACGGTGATTATCGTAAAGTACTACTGTGTACACGAGTAGCATGTTTTACGTGAGTTGACGTTCAAACGACTGTGAGCACGAAACAACCGATGTCGTTAAATATAAGGTATTGTTTACAGCTCCGTTCTAATAGCGCTTTGTAACGTTACCGGAAAATTGTTCGTAGTACTGACAATTTAGCGATATGAAAGGACAACAAAAACGTACGCGATTAGAACAACATACTAAACCGGTCATCTTGGTAGAGTAAAGGGATAAAACATCGGAACGAAACGGAAGCAACTTTCTGCGTGTAATCGATTTCGACCGGCCGTCTGATGGGTATATCCTCGTAACTGACGCAAACGAGCGCAAACCTGGCACCTATTCAAACAACAAATTACTAATATCCGTGTTTATCCGTGCATCAGAGAAACTTCAAATAGTCCTCGTGCGAGAAAACGGAACGTGTGTACAATGTGTTAGCCAGCTACAAGTGAAATCTGCTACTCCGTCTCAATGAATGTCTAGCGGGGTTTATATTGATTATTAGACGGCAATTATTACCGACTTAATCATTATTTCTGTCCAATGCGCGATTAGATGCGATAAATCATGACAACGGCTGACTTGATGACTTCTGAAAGGAGCCCGCGGATTTGCGGTGAAACGAGTTGAATAATCTTGGCCTACTGGTTTGAATTAACCACTGGTGATAATTTGTTAATTTATTGGCGTAATTAAGCTTGAAGCCTTGGATAGTCTACGTGAAATGTGTGGAACACCTTGGAGGAATATCTGCGTGGTGTTCCAAGTCTGATTAATCCCTATTTCATCCTCCTTCTTTTTCAAAGTACCTACAGCTTAAATAATTCATACAGATTTGTAGACTATACTTCTAATATACTTATCTCGCTGATTTTGCGTACTAGAAGTATGAAAATTCAGGAACTAACGACTAAAGAATGAAATTAAGTAGAAAGAATGTTAAACATAAATTTTGTTTTCTGCTCCAGTACGTTCAATTCATTCCCCAAGTCATGTACACCAATTACGGAATAAAAAATGGACGGTATTAAGAAGAATCTGCGACTTCATCAAACCTAATCAGGTTTGCCACTTTTATCGGAACTGCATCTACACCCGGCGAGTATTTCTCTTACAATTAATAAAACCCAGCATGATGTCGATTTACATTTTTCACAGTGTGCACGTCGTGCGATTTCTTTTTCATAATAATTGTGGAATTATACGAGGGTTTATCAATTATCCGATTTTATCGTTCGCGATGCAGCAATTATAGGCATAATATTAAAAGTAATGTACCGTGACACGTGCGTTCCGCGTATCGTTTTCTGGCCAAGGCTTCCGAGAGAGTTGCCACGGCCGACTTTTGTTGTTCTGGTATTTTCCCTATTTTTTTTCATTCCGTACGTTTCGCCGTCAAAGTAATAACCCGATAAATATGTAAATTTATTCAAACGGCGTAATTTGTTGCACGCATGACCGCTTAATATTTAATCTCGAGAACGTTACGAGACACCGGGCGACGGCGTTTCACGCTTGAGAAATTGTAAAATTTCGGCGATGATCTTTTTACAATATCGTCGCATGCGTCGTTCGTCTCAGGTTTTAATTAACGCGGGGGAATGCTCGTTCCCGGGGAACACCGACGTTTATTTATTTTGGTTCAGCGTTCACTTGGCTCGCGCGACCGCTCTCCTGTCGATCCGGAGATTAAATCGATCGCGTGGTGGCCAAAGGTAAAGAGCTGACGGCACGCAAATTTTGAACGAAAATTCACGTAGATTAGGGGCCTCTCTCTCTCTCTCCTCATTTCTGCACCATTTGCAGAATTATTCTTTTTTTTCTGGAAGAAGAAAATGGAGATTGCTGACGAAGATATGTTGTTTGTAATATTATATTGTAAGTATTATACTGAATTATATGTAACCAGTATTATACTGTTGAGGGTATCCTGAAATTCTTAGGGCTTCCAGATAGCTAAGTAAGGTAATGGTAAAGGTCTCGATCATCTGATAAGTTGGTTGGTACGGACAACACTCAAGCTTTGGTCCTTCAGAAGCGAGAAATCTTTGTACATAATATATCAATGTTCATCCACGACTGAAGATACAAGTTAAGTAATCTCATTAGTGAATTTACATTAGCCTTGTTATATCGAACTACGGAATATTTTGAAGCTTCACAATCTTTGATCCCGAAAATTACAATAACTTCAAGCACAACCCTGATTTTCACAAGTTTCCCTTGAAAAAGCACACCAACCGCTTTCTTGCCACAATCTCTCTAGCTGTCAAAGTTCTCCCGAAGTCCTCGAAATGTCGCGGTGCACCGTTCATTCCTCTCCGCGACATTCCCGAACGAACAAGATCACAAAATCCCATAGTCCCACCGGATGTCTGCGGGGATGACAAGACAGAATCGGAGAACACGAAGAAGCCACAGATCCGTCGAAGTCATCAAAGTGGCGAGAATCACGTCGAGGCGATCCACAGGAAAACAACAGAGACAAAAAGAGGAGGGCAAGTAAGAAGAGATCCAGACACGGTATGCTAATGAGGGTACCAGCTTTCCTCTTTTTTCGTCGCGGCGGTCTTGCTAGGCTTGTACGCCAATTTCTATACACCCGAGCCGCCACTCCTTTCACGATCCTTTCCTTGAAGTTTCGCCCTCGTGGCGATACCACCACGGGGGAAACAAAACCAGAGAGAGCACCGTGAAAACGGGCCTTT